TACTATACACAGACTCCAAGGATGTTTGAGACCCATCTGAGGCCTGTTATATTTGCCAGGTACTTCCTGGAGAATATGTTTAGCATCCACTGGGGCTTAGATTCAAATATTACAGCAGTTACAGGAAATGAGGTACCCACAGTCTCAAATGAGTTTCAGTTGGGAATCCTTGACCCTCCTGGCTTATAAAATCTAGCAGGGAGGGAACGGCTGACTGGTCTAGGGAGGTGATCATAGAAGAGTAGAGTTGGAAGGGAGGGGCCACAGGGCTGTCAGGTCCAACTCCCTGCTCAGTGCAGGACTCCCATGTTACGCTGTCCCTCGAGATGGCTGTCCAGTCGCATCCTGAATGCCTCTAGTGTGGGAGAACCCACAACCTCCCTAGGTAATTGGTTCCCCTGTCATACTGCTTTAACAGTCAGGAAGTTCTCCCTGATGTTCAGTTGGGTTCCTCTAACTTGAACCCATTATTCCATGTCCTGCACTCTGGGATGACTGAAAAGAGATTCTGTCCTTCCTCTTTGTGACAGCCTTTCAAGTACTTGAGTGCTATTATATCTCCTCTTAGTTTCCTGTTCTCAAAGCTAAACATGCCCAGTTCTTTAAATCTCTCCTCATAGGGCTTTGTTTACAGTCCCTTGATCATCCTCGTTTTCCCCCTTCTGTACTCTTTCCAGCTTGACCACATCTTTTTTAAGGGAAGCCCCTTCTAACTCACTTTTTTCTATGTTTCTATTTGCCTATCAATCTTGAGCTGCTCCTTTAGCTTGTACTTCCCTTTCATCAGGAAGTTCATCGATCTTCTTTTGGGGAAAGACTGGGCCAAAGTAGGAATTGAGCACTTCTTCCTTTTTTCTTCTTTTTTTGCTCAGTGCAGGACTCCTCTGTCTTTTACTTTGGACATTTCCAAAGAAGGCTTTATTTGCTGCTTTTTGCATCCCTCAGTTCATTCCTAGCCTTAGCCTTCCTGATGCTATCCCTGCAATTCTGTGCTACCTGCCATTATTCTTCATTTGTAGCCTGTCCTTCCTTCCACTTCCGGTACATGTCCTTTTTTTGTTTTCAGATCATCTCTAGGCTTTTTGTGAAGCCCAAGGGCTTCTTCTGTTGTTTTGTACCCTCTTTCCTTGTTGGAATTGTTTGTGATTATACCTTTAGAACTTGCTTTTTTAAAAAAATTCCAATTTCTTGGACTCCTTTTCTCATTAGAGTTGGTTGCCATGGGACTCTACTTATCATTGTTCATTAAAATTGGCTTTCTTGAAATCCATAGTACTTGTTCGGCCACATTTGGCTTTTGCTTCCTTTAGAATCAAGGATTCACATGTGGCATGTTAACTTTCCCCTTGTCCACTAAGTGTTTCCTGTTGTTTAGCATCAAGTCAAGGATAGCCATTCCTCTTGTTCCTTCTTCTACTTGGAGGAAGTTATCAGTAACATGTTAGGAATCTCTTGGAGGGGCCATGTTTGGCAGAATTAGTCTCCCAACAGATACTAGGCAATTGTAATCCCACATAATGATGACATCATCCCTGATAATGACGACATCATGCCTCATTGAAACAGGGGCAATTTGCTTTTCAAAAGTTTTATCCTTGTCTTCTCCTTGACTTGGGTGGTCAGTAATAGACTCCAACTATTGTGTCCCTTTTATTCCTTTCTTCATTTATATTAATCCAGAATTAATATGCATGCCTCTTTGCAAGAGAGTGGTTCCATTCTGCTTTCAAGAGATGGTGCTGTGGCACTCTTGAAGGAAATCTCTGTAGACCCAGAAGGTCCACATAGCTTAAGGCCAGTGGCAAATGTTCCCTTTCTGGGCAAGGTCCTTGAGTAGGTTGTGGCCAACCAGATCAAATCACTCTCAGATTAGACTGATTTGGATCCATTTTAGTTGGGATTCAGGCCAGAGTTTAATGCAGAAACACCTCTTGTTGCCGTATTCAGTGCTCTGTGGCAGGAGAGAGAAAGGGGAAATGTGACCCTGTTGATATTCCTGGATCTTTTTGGCAGCTTTCAGTACCATCAACCATGAAATCCTTCTGCAGCAGCTATCTGAGCTGAATGTAGGAGTGTACCAAATTTCAGTGGTTCCACTCCTATTTGGGGTGATTCTAGAAGGTGGTACCTGGGGAATGCTGCATGGCCCTTGGGACTTTCCAGTATTGGGTTCCTCAGGGTTGGTTTCATGCTGTTTAACATCTACATGAAATCGCTGTTGGCATCATTCATAGAAACATAGAAACAAAACAAGTCAGAGGGGGTCTCCCAGACCATCTAGTCTGACCCCCGACTCCAGTCGGCTCCACTCATGTAGTCCCCAACATGTGGTTTTCAAATCTTTCCTTGAATGCCTCACTGATGGGGCCTCAACCTCCTCCCTTGGAAGCCCATTCCATATCTTAGGGGTCCTAACCATCAAGAACTACTTCCTGACATCCAGCCTGAATCCTGGTTCCTTGAGCTTTGCCCCATTGGAATGCGTCCTGCCCTGCACTGCAGGGAAGAACAGGTCACAGCCCTCCTCCACATGACATCCCCTCACATACCTAGAAGTTGCCAAAAGAGTCTCCTCTTCTCCAGGCTGAAAAGATCTAGTTCCCTCAATTTCTCAACCCAGCTCCCAACCCGACTACCATTCCTGTGACACTGTGCTGAACCAATTCTAACCTAGCTATGTCTCTTCTATAATGTGGAGCCCAGAACTGGATGCAGTGCTCCTGTTGTGGGCACACCAGAGTCATGTAGGACAGGAACAAAACCTCCCTTGATCTGGAAGCCACACTTCTGGCTTTATATCCAAGGGTGGCGTTTGCCTTCTTAACTGCCGCATCACACTGCTGGCTCACCTTCAGCCTGCTGTCGACAAGTTCCCCAAGATCCCTTCCACCAGTGCTGCTCTCCAGCCGCTCGTCCCCCATCCTGTACCTGTGACACCTATTCCTGTGTCCCAAGTGCAAGACCTTGCGATTATCCACTGTTGGAGTCCATTGCCATCAGTACAATGATGACACACAGCTTTATTTCTCTATCTTGAGCAGCTGAGGCTGTGGATGTGCCAAATTGGTGCTTGGCTATGGCAGTGGACTAGATGAAGTCTAACAAACTGATGCTCAGTTTAGACCAGATGAGATGCTCTTACTGGGTGGTTCCTCTGACTAGAACACTGAACAGGCGTTCAGCCTGTTCTGCTTAGGGCTACACTCCTCTTGGTCTGTAGCTTGGGGTTTTCTCCTGATCCATCTCTGTCACTTGAGACTTTGGTGGCCTTAGTGGCAGGGTACCTTCAACCAGCTCTGGCTGGTAGCCCATTAATTCCCCTCTCTCAAGAGAAGTAGCTTGGTTTATTTAATCTTTGCTCTGGTAATCTCTAAATTAGATTACTGCAATGCACTCTGTGTAGGGCTGCCCTTGAAGCTGCAACTTGTGCAAAATGGAACAGCCAGACGAATAACTATGACCCCAAAGTCCAAACATTGAATGCCAATTCTCACCCACTTGCATTGCTTGTCTATATGTTTCAGAGTCCTGTTCAAGATGCTGGTTTAAACCTGTAAAGCCCTATACAGCTTGAGAATGCGATAGTTAATAGAATGCTTCTACCTGGACATTATGATTAACCACTGAGGCCTTTCTCAGACTGCCACCTCTGAGGGGAGCTCAGTTGGTGCCAGAAAGGGGAGCCTTCTCAGTGGCAGTCCCCCAATTATGAAACAGACTCCTCAGAGTCCCACCTGGTGCCAGCTCTACTATCCTTTTGTGCCAGGTTAAGACTGTCCATGGCATTTAACAACTCTAATGCATGGCGGTCTTATATCAGCTGTTTAACAGGCCTTCTTGTTTTAACTTGTTCTAGCTATTTAAGTTGCTTAAATCTGGTTCATTAATTTAGTTTTTCAATTTTGTAATGAAATTTTTGGTGTTTTTCTTGTTGCCGGTATTTTATTATATTTTATGAGTTCTAAACATCCCAGAGAGCTTTGGGCTATTGGACAGTATAGAAATAAAATATAATAATAGTAGCAGCAGCAATAGTAGTAAATATGGCACTTGCACAGTAACTGACTCCAAATGCTACAGTACCACAACATTTTTCTCTTTCTTATATTTCCTTAATGTTCAGTTTGCTTCCAGATTGATCTGTTCAGACCAATCATGGGTGGGAGGCATAATTATGAGGTCTGCTGTAATTTCAGCAGTGCAGGGATAGGAAAGGAATAGGGCTTTCTTAAAAGGCATGGTTTGAGATGTATATTCATGTGTGAGGAGAGGGAAAAGAAGACCCTGCCAGCCAAATCAGTGAGGAATGGTGTGCTAGGCAGGTCCTTCTAGAGCTAAATCCACCTCCCTCCACATTCTCCGAAAACCTGTTTTTGCTCTGGAAAATCATCAGAAAAACATGCAGTGATATTAATGTGTGTGCATGATAGATGGGGAGCCCTTCAGCCGATGATGTGCCCACTGCTGTGTCCTTCTAAAGCTCACAGCATGGATGCTCGGAAGCTGCATGAAGCTGCAAATGAAGGCCTTGTGGGTGGTTTCCCGTAGGAAAATGCTGGGAACAGCATATTGAACAGGATGAAAGATACTGTTTCCCTGTCACAAGATGCCAGTGTTGCTTTTAAGAAAAATGTTTTGTTTCTTTAAATTTGACAGGCAGCCTTGCTCATCTCAGTGGTGGGTGGGAACAAGGGAGTGACAAGAAAGGAAGCAGCCAAAACTGTCCAAAGGACGCATGTCAAAGAGCCTCAGTCCTTAATATTCCTAGAGAGTTTAAAGGAAAGTGGTGCCTCTTTCACTTAAAAGACCTCTCCAAGTGACGGTGTAGTGTTAGCCTAGCAAGGGGCAACCGCAGAGGCTTTGTGTGAAATCCCTGTAGAGCAAAAGTGTTTTCCCACCGCCAGCGAAGATTTCTGCAGCACAAACCAGGGGCAAGTCAAGTCTTTGCCTGACACCTTTTCCTCCACTCTTCTTGGTCTTTTGCAGTTGGAGGAGGACAGGCATTCTCAGCACTCCCTCCCGAGGTACAGCCCCCTCAGAAGACTGGCGTCCTCCGTTTTCTCTTCCTCAACCCTGGAGACAGAACAGTACCCTCACCTGGGCGGCACTTTCATACAGCGCAGCCGTTCGGCGGAGAGCAGCCCCGTGCGCATGCCCCACCGCAGGCACATGCCCCTCACAGCAGGAAACCACAGACTCATGCCTTCTGTCCTCCGCATTTCCAGATCCCAGCTCCAGCAGGTGTGGGCCCGCTTTACACACAAAACATAGCCTGTGCCGGGGGAAGCAGCAGCCTTTGTAATGCAATAATAGAGCCCACCGGCCCCATGTGTCACCCTTTAATGCAATACTGCATCCCAGACAACTTGGCCTAAAAGGTACGGTCAGCTTCTAAGTCCCCTGCAAGAGAAAAATACAGAGACTCAGAACAGCCACGTTTCTCGCTCTCTTTCTCCTCCACTCTGCTGGGCCAGAGGCTGCATCATGGTTCAAGATGAGGATACAAATAGCACGGACCTGTAGCACACGAGAGGGTTTTCTGTCAGCGCTCTGGGGCGGTGGCCCGCAGCAGTGGGGCGGGGCAGTGGTTGTAGGGGTGGCCCCAGTGAACGGACTGGAGAGATTCAGACTCAAGGGGAAGGCAGTGCAGGTACCAGAGGGAGCTGTCTTCCCAGCCGGATGAAGTCCATGCAGATTTTCCTGTCTGTCGAATTGTGGTGATGCTAGACTACAGATGGAGGCCTTCCCCTCACGTTTCATTAAGCCCTTGATTCAGATCACCATGTACAACGTGCTTGAATCAAGAGCTCAGGAACTGAGGGGGGTTCACAATTGCATATTTTGCAAATTATTGCCAAAATCATAGTACTCTCATTGCAGCTTGTGCATCACGTACAGACTGCGTCACTTGCTCGCCTGTGACTTTGTTTCTACTCTGGCACTTTTTGAGGGGGGGGGGTCGTCTTTTCACCCAGTATAGATCCACTTGCACTTATGCTTTCCTAGCTTTATCTGTCAGGCATGATGGTATAGCACAGTTTTAATTCTTTCTTGACCAACCTGTTGATTGATATGAAGGCTTCTTGGCTTCAGAACAGGGAGGCCACCTGCCTGCCTATCTGCCTACCTGTTGCCTGGCCTGGCTTTACCTATTTCTGAAGTTAAGCAAATTTCATGTTAATGTTCTAGGAAGGAACTGATCCATACCAATTCTAGTTATTTTTAATGTTGAAAGACAACAAAAGATAACTCGTGTTTTTCCATAATTCAATAAGCCTGCGTGTCTTGATGGAGAAAAGGAACCTCATCAACCAATGCATTAGGGCAGCCGAAAAACATGTAGTATTTTATTGCTAGAATACCACCTGTCTTTTCCTAGTTACATTTGATTTCTTTTGAAATGTTGACTATCCATTGAACAGAGCCAGGAAGAATTGACGGTATCTTTAAATTGTCAAAAATGATTACCTATTAGGCTCAATCGTTTCAAAAATTATTTAGAACAGACACCAATGCAATCCTATGAATGTTTAGACAGAAAAGAGTCCTATAGTTCTCAGCATTTCTCAGCCAGCATGCAAACATGCATAGGATTGTACCTTTAACTTGTCAATAATCCTCCAAGTCCCCGCCCACCGCATCTGACTTCCCTGAAACCCTTTACTGAGTTTGAATTGCCATTAACTTGATGCGGAACGTTTAAGCAGGCGTGAGTATAGTGATGCAGAGATGCTTTGAAGAAGTTCATTGCAAAACACAAATCAACAACTCCATGAACTTTGCCGAGGGTGGAAAGAATTGGAATAGTGAAGGTTGTGCAGTTGTGGTTGGTTTTGTGCTTTCTCTTAGAGCCGTTGTGGGCCATAATGGTGCATTTATGCCGAAAGGTTAAGTGAGGTTTGCCCTTTCACAGGTGCCAATATAGATGGGCCAACATGCTGAAACTGGATTTCCAAATCATGGTTGGCTTAAATATAACTTTTTCTTTGTTTATTGATTTGCACTTTTATTCAGTTTTATTTTCAAGGAACATCATGCACCTGTAAGGGATAGTGTTTTCCTCTTATACAAGTCTTACCTTGTGTACCAATTGGTACCGTTGTGAACTGGTAGCCCTATTTTAATTATTAAGACAGGCTTCCTATATTTGCTGTGTCAGTGAAGCATAGAAAGAAAAGGTTGCACAGAAATGTGGATCGCCACAATTCCCTTCAACTAATGGTTGTTGTTATGGTTAGTCTCTTCCTTTAGCTCTCAAGTAAAGGACTAAAGTGTGTCCTACTTTTCAGAGGTCAGTTCTCTGTTTTGAGGCTTCCTCTGTTTGACAGGCTCCACAGCCAATGTCCGGTTGAAGATCAAAGATCCAGAATAAGGGAGAATAGGAAGGGCCTCGAAGTTGCCCATCTGCAGTTAGCAGCTGGACAGTAGAAAGAGCAAGCACATAGTCATCTGGTCATGGTCTTTCCCATTATGGTGGGAGGGACTGTATTTCTATTTAAATTATGGTCATTAATTCTATATTTGCATATGCACAGTTATGCAAATCCACCCCCCCCCCGAAATCTGAAAGTAGCCATCCTAGTCTGAAGAGGGCCAAAGGATGCTCTGTTTTGCATGTGAAAGATACCAGAATTAATTCACAAATTATGAAATTTTGAGATTATATGTCTTTTTAAGAGAGACCTTCCTAAGAGCCTGAAAGGATTTTTTAAAATAATGGATTTCCAACTGCAGCATTTTGATTGGCAGCTTGGTTCCCACATTAAGCATTCATAGAGCCTGAAAATAAGCTAGAATCGCAGTACTGTGGCACAGAATTGTCAACCAGCTGCTGCTTCTGAAGTGAGCCGATTCTATAAATGTCTGCCAAGCAGTGGGAGATTCATCCAGAGCAAAGAAGCACAAGCGGCTCTGTCACCTTTCCCTTTTTTCGTCATTTCACAGGAACCTTTCAGGTCCTTTGGCCTTGGGCAGCTAGCGTCTTAAGCCCTGTCCACTATTGGAATGCACCCATGAGAGCGTCTCCTTGGAAGTTGACCTAAGTGTTGCCCCTCCTCAAAGAAGCTCAAATGCAGCAAAAGCAGCGGCACCATTTTGAGCAGAGGCTGTGGAGGAGGGCAGGAGAGTCCCAATGTCTGCTGTTCGACATGTTCGTAATTCAGTCACAAACCAACAGTGTATTTCATTTATTGTGGTTATGAATTTCTATTTCCACAATAATAGAAAATGTATCTGTGTAAGTCAGGCTTCATTTTAATTCATAGCAGTGGGTTTTGTGCTTTTTGATATGCACATCTACTGCACAGGTACAGGTTCTCCTACCCTCCCTATACAGGTACCCTGTGGCCAAAGACCAGCAAACAGTAAATCTGACACGGGTTCTGGTGGCATTCTGTCTGCCCCTTTCAGCAATAGTATGAAAGCTAATTATCCAAGATTGAACAAAAAATTTAAAAAAGTGGCTGAAACTTCAAAATGTACATGAGCATACCTGGGATATCAGACAATTTCTAAATCCGGGGCATGTTCTCAAATTTACTGTTTTCTAAGAAGGGAATGTGACCCCCAACTTCAGGCTGTTTCATCATTGTTTAAATATATTTGTACTTATTTATATGTGTATCTCTCCCTCCCTTGCAAGGTCAAGTGCTTTGATCAAACCCTACGTGTTAGCATAATGTTCCTGTTTGTTTTTCTCCAGATTTTATCTTAGTTAACAGTTCTGTCTGCCTCAGGGCCTTCAAAATATTATGTGTGTGTGTGTTTCAAGCAAGCCAATCATACTTACTTTTGTTCTGAAGGATTCCTTGTTCTTAGATAAAATGTGGTGGAACTGAACAACGAGGAGAAATTTTGATCCTCTGGTTTCTAGAAGTTAGCATCCATCTTGAGTCAGAGAGCCCCTACTTTCAATTCAGTGTTACCATGTTGTGCGTGTGCCTGCATGCACACATGTAAATAATGAATCTTGAACATAACTTTGCATTTCTAAGGCTGCACTGCTAGGCAGATTCCTTCAGATTGTCTCATTAAACTTGGTGCAGGCTATCTCTATATCAGCCTTCCCTAAACTGGTGCTCTCCAGAAGTGTTAGGTTATAATTCTCATAATCTGCAGATGCACAGAGCATACTGGATGGAGATGATGGGAGTTGTAGACCAACTCTTACTGCAGGCGCTAGGTTGGGGAAGTTGTTCTAAGTAAGCATAGAGTTTGGCTGCAGTGTATCTTAATCCCTGATTAGAAGCTATGTCCTATAGCGAATTACACCATGCATAATTTGGAAGCTGATGAATGGAACCTTTGCTAGTCATTGTACATTTGCTTATACAGTATACATTGCAGCAAAGACTCAGCTGTAAGGTAATAGCTTTTTCCTGCCAAGTGACTTGATGTTCAAAATACCTCATTGAAATAAACTTGATTTGCAGTGAATGGGGTTTGCACCAACAACATCTCACTGACAAGAGTCCAGTGTGAGGATCAGAGCCATGGCAAGCATTCAGCAGTTTATTTCAGAGATTTCCTGATGAGAATATAATTGTGATAGCTATTTAGATTGGTTTTTCTCTATGCGTCATAAGGACCCAAAGTATTTTCAATCACTTGCACATCAGTTTGTCCTCTTGCATTATTTTGTTCTAAAAACTGCACAGAGCAATAAACATATAAGCTGCTCTTTATATGAAACATTCATAACAAAATATTGCTCAGATTTTAGTAGAGACACCTTAGCTCTTTGGGAAACTGCAGCTATGTTGACTCAATATGAATAAGAGCTCCTTAACCACGGTCGCCTTTCCAGTCTTTTGCCTCATCACCTTTCTTCCCTCCAACTGCATTCTGGTCCGGTTACTACACCCTTTATCACTCTTTAGTAGTTCATTTTTTTGCCTCCAACTGTGCTGCCGCAAGAGGCATTTGTACTCAGTTCTTCAGCCTTACCGCTTCTCTGCACTCCTTCCTGTCAATACCACATGACTTCCAATTTCCTGTAGGCTCTCTCTGAGTTTATATTTCCAGG